AWAATAACTGTCCAGTGTCCATCAGGGACAACATATATATTTAGAGGGAATTATTATTATTRTTAATATTAGACTAATTCAAACTGCCCTTGATTAACATAGTGACATTTTAGTCCATTGACCCCAAGGTCATTTTGTCAATTTCCAATAAAATAAAAAAATATTCTCTCTTATCTTTCTGATTGTAAATACCGTAAAAAAATCAATCAAAGCATCACTAATCCTCACGTGTCTGTCTGTGCTGGATTTGAACATCTTTAACTAAATCACGTGAAACCTATAGAGAACACTCACCATGTTGATGATGTTGTGACTCCAGTTGAAGAGGATTTGTCAGTAGACGCACGCCCTTTCTTATATTGAGTGTACAGGAACTGCCTTTGTGCGTGGGTGTCTGTGGTCATGGATACTCTGCAATTCAAAAAGGTCAGATACCTTTCAACTTCCACTTCAGCATAGAGGGAAGCTGAAATTCAGAGTAGACAATGAAGTGCTGATTTAAAAAAAGTGCCAAGGAAGTATTAAGACAAGAGCTGCGTCATGTGTGATTAAGCAACCCCCTTTAATGAACCTTAAAACGTCATTGTTCGGCTTAAGCACAATCATATTACATAATCCATAGCGACCTTCCATGCTGCAGTCATATTATAACCTTTACAACCCCAGTAATTCTGGAACAGCTGACTGAATCTCAAGGAAATGTCTGCTTTTGCACAACCTCTAGAAAAAGATGTTTTTAAAATTTCCATTCAATCTCTCTTTATTGTCATTTGTATGGAGATATGGATCATTGTTATTTTACAATGGTGGACATTTGAGAAAAACCCCAAATAAGCAAGTGTGTGTCAGTAAGCCAGTCAGTCATATTTTTCTTGTGAAAAAAAAGTTTATCGATGTGTCACTCAATAGTATTTACAGTACAGTATGACGTTATGATGAGGAATACTGACATGAAGTGTTTTATAATTCTGTGATGAGTCAAATCAGTGAGTACGTGTTCGTCCTGTTTCTACTGAATAGAAGAGCATTATATCTTCATGTTAGAGTGTTATTCATTTTGTAGAAATACAGTGTTATGAAGACTACAAAAATACATGAAAATGATAATAATAAATTCTCAAAAGTGCCTTGTGCTTAAATGGATAAAGTTTCCATAATGGTAAAACATGTTTTTAGAAATATATGCACATTTGGAAAAATCTGAATTCATTTCTTTTTAAAAGCCTCTTTGGCAGCAATTGCAGCTTCAGTCTTCTTGGTTGAATCTCGCTCTGAACACCTGGATTAGGGCAGATTATTTCATTCTTCCTGACAGATCCTCTCACTCATGCTCTCTAGCGAGAGGATGGGAAACTCAAAGTACAGTCAGAGACTTTTCTGACATTGACCTACTTTAGGTCACTGTTGCGCTGAGAGGGGAACCATTGCCCCAGTAGGTCCCCTGCACCTGATCTGAATTCCTGTGTTTGGCTGCATTCATCCCTCAATCCTCAACCCTGACCTACCGCCAGGCTGTGAGCTCTGCCTAAAACATAGAAGTTCTGTCTAATCAGATGACAGAATCTTTTTCCTCGCGCTCTCAGAACCCTTTGAATACTATTTGGCAAACTTCAAATGAGCGATCATATGCCTACTCCAATTAATCTCTTTCACTACCATGAAGGCTTGATGGGTTAGATCCACTGCAGGGGTGGCTCCATGGGCGGGGCTGGGGAGGCTTTGGCCAGGAATTTAGCATGGATGTCGCACATATAGCCTAATTGGCCTAAATTGTGCACCCTTTATGGCCCCATATTAAAACTGTACCAGAATGAGTAAATGTGGCTTAGATAAAACATATTTATGACATACAGTATACTGGAATTCAGAATTTTATGACTGTTGCCCAAACCTAGTATAAAATCAATATTGATATTCACGTGAATGTTGTGTCAATGTTGTGTCAATGTGTAGTGTGTGTGTATTATGCTTGGAATTAAAATATATTAAATAATAACTCCTGACCCTGAAATCATCTATGACGTTGAAGAAAAGACAACAAAATGCCAAAGACAATATTCTCTATATTTTTTACAAACTGATTTTAATCAGATCATTTGACATTAGTGTTCACAAGTTACACGAGCTTAAAGAGGACCAGTCAAGCATATATACAATAGAGATCATACATTTAATAATATAAAAGTGAACAAAATATAAAACAAATATCACTTCATGAACTTGCAGCATTTGGAATCCAGTATTTCTGATGAAGTAATAAAAAAAACAAGCTTTTACATGTTCAGAAACTACATTTTTTTTAAATAGAAAACAATTGCACTCCTTTGTACATTCATAAAGCTGACAATTTAAAAATAAAAATTCAGACGAGCTTTACTTGCCAGCAGTCCACAACAAACCAACAAACAAAGGGAAACTGTAGAAAATTACATGTATTTCATTATGAAACCAAATCCTTCTTCTCAAACAGCGAGAAAGCAACAATAATAAAAACAGCCCCTCTTCCATAAAACAGTGTGCTATTTACATCTTAAATAGTTTCTTTTTTCACAGACTCTGGTCAAAAGGTTTCCAGGAAATATAATTCTTTTTAACATTTTGATTAAGTCTGCCTGGAGTACACAGATGTCAAATAGGATTTCTTTTTATATCAATTCCTTTTCATTTTATAACTGCAGACGGATACTTTACATAGATAGAATTTTTAACCGTACTGTAGTTTTTATCAGCATGTGTCACCTCATATAATCAATAATAATTTGATAGAACACCAGTAACAGGAAGAAGAATTTCTCTTTCCATTTTTCTTTTATGACAAAATACCTCCTGGCACAATGTGCATAGCTTGATATCATTTGGTGATATCTTGAAGACCTGAAATTATCATGTGACCCATGTCTGTGACTCTTTCACATACCTTTATGCCCCAGGTTCAGTGTGTGTGTGTGTGTGTGTGTATTTCTGCATGTATTTCTGCATGTATTTCTTATTCATTTAACGGCTTATGGCCCTTAAAACACAACTCGTCCTGCAGCATACTGACAAACATCTTCTCATACAACTTGTGTGCTGAGGTGGTTCCTATGATGCGGCTGATCTTCTTCAGGCCCTTCAGCAGGTAGCGCGGCGCCCCCTGGCTGCGCAGCACCCTCAGACTGTGAGACAGGCCTTTGGCTAGATCCAGGTCGTAGTTTGCCGTCTTCCAGAGGTGAAGAAGCTGCAGGATGTACTGCCTGGGCAGGCAGGTCGAGACCACGGCCTGGACGTCCTCCTGCTGAACCCTGACCCCCGGCAGGCTGTTGGTGACCTGCAGGAGGTCGTCCAAGGTCAGGTTCTTCAGGCCGTTGCAGCGAGAGACCTTCCTCTCACAGTGGTTCACACCTGGAGGGACAGGATACAAACATGAATACACAATTGCAGGACTTGAATAAGAACTGGGTAAAACTAAAAAGGTGCATTATATTTATATTGTACCTCTTATGATGCCGTACAGCTTGTCCTGGTCCTTGTTCTGCTCCCTCCACAGTCGCAGCAGGTGGAGGACCTGCTGGTGAGGGGAGCAGGCCTTTTTCAGCCTCTCCAGGCTCTTGCGATCCACCCTCCGGCCTGGGAGGCTCTCCAATAGCCGTTCCAGGGGCACCGAGGACAGTTGCAGCGAGGCGAGAGACTGGAACACTGCCTCCTCACACAGGTTCACATCTGGAATAAAGTGAACGAGACAGACAGGAAGCTTTAAAAACATTTTTAGAATAGAATAGAATATTACATCATACACTGTCGGAACAGATGTCAGGGGCAATTTGGGTAACAGTGTCTTGCCCAACGCAGACTGGGGGAGCCAGGGAACGCACACCCCTCTGGGTGGTAGACGTCTACCCTCTCTACTTCCTGAGCCACAGCCACAGCAACATTTTTTTGTGTGAGCTCAGCACAGCAGTTTTGCTGCAAATGTCTCATTTAAGATAAGATAAGATAAGATACTTTATTCATCCCACGCTGGGGAAATTTGGACATTACAGCAGCAGAAGGGCATTAAGATAGAGAAAAGTAAAATAAAAATAGAAAATAAGAATAAAAATGTACATATATATATCTATATAGATATAGATATAGATATAAAGAAAAAAAAGGATACCGGAAATTCACAGTGATATTGTACATGGGGAGTGGAAATATACATTCGATGTAACAATTCAAAAAGTATTGCACAGCACACCTGAAGATTGAATATGAATATTGCACATGAGATATATATATATATAGGATGATTTGACCTAGTTTGACCAGCAGCTTATGATGACAAAACTTTTGTAGAAATTATTGTGTAACTTTCAGAACTGAGTCCATTCACTTTCGCAATGATTGAATGTTTATCCAGCATTTGTCAGCACTTTGTGGGTACAGTGACACAGTCGTCTCCTGACTGTGGCTTGCTGCACTGGGGCACGTCGGATACAGGGATAAAAAGGTAAATGTGCCTTGACTGGTTTATTCCAGACAATTTAACCGTGAGTTTACTGGAAAGAAACAGCATAGCAGAGGGCACATGTAACAAATGACCAGGTGCATTTAAATGTATTCTTCCTTCTTGGAACAGAGTTGCTGTTTAGACTAGATTCAGGTTTTTTCTCCACACAGTCCATGTTTTATGACTGGAGTTGTTTGTACATGTTTGTGTGAGTGTTAATGATTGTTGCCTCGGAATGTGACCACAACAGTGAAAAGGATTTCCTCTCTTTCTCTTCCCCATTGACAACACAGAACCACTATTGACACGAGTCTGACAAACCAAACAAAACTGAGCGTGCCTGTGTTTCTTTGCAACAAGACGCCCAGGTCTGCATGATCATACTGAGGTCCTACATTTCTGCAAGCAAAAATCTCCTGAGCTTATTTTTGTGAAGAGCAGTACTTTACTGTTCTCTTCACTTGAAATCATGGAAACCTCAACCTGCTTTCATTACGACAACACACTAGTAGGGCCCTAGTAAGAAAGATTATGACATTTTGAGGATTATGTAATATGATGTGAAAAAGTCAGAATATTACGAGAACAGTCGTTGACAAGAAAGTTGAACGATAAAGAGAATAAAGACGAGTCATAATTAAAAAATTATTAAAATTATTTAAGCGTTGACTGAGATAAATAGTTGAGTAAATGAGGGAGTTTTTCCTCTCCACAGTCGCCTGTGCTTGCTCATTGTGGGAACTGTTGGGTTTCTCTACGTTAATATTGTTTTAAGGTCTTGACCTTTAAATGTAAAGTGCCTTGAGATAATGTAAATTATGAATTGGTGCTATATAAATAAAATTGAATTGAATTGAAGTAATGCTTAAAAATGTAATTTAAGTACATCTTCTGCTTGACAGAAGCATAACTTACCAAGTTCAAATATTCCTATTCCACAACACCTTATCTAATATTTGGAGTTTTTTCTCGTAAACTATTACTCTCATGTATTACAGTTTATCAACCTGACACCAGTTACAAACCCAGGACAAAAGGAACTGTAGGTAATGAAATTACAGCTGAACTGACTTCCAGAACATGACGGACATCAGTAAACCGATGTCGGTGTAGAGTCATTGAGTTTAATGTGAAGAGGATATTATTTCTTGTTTCTCTCGTGTCTGGATGTTGTACTTGCAGCTTGGTTTATAATTGACATTGACATCCTGGTGGTTACCCTAAAACACGTAGCAACTTTGGGAATCCCAACTGCTTTCAATTTAACATTTTTGCTAAACTGTTCCAGGATTTACCGCAAACTATCTGCGGTTGTGTCTTCCACAGGAAGACAATTTGTGAATGAATGTTTGAGGAGAGCATCACCCTCGGCTACAGTTTGCATGAGTGTGCCTGGTACATCCGTGTGTGTGTGTCTCTCCAGTGACTCTGGTTTCCTGTGGTGTTTAGTGTCGTATCTGAGGCTTCTCCTCTCAAATTAATTGTCAGCATCTGTCATAGTTAAAGTCTGAGTAACTGAGACTAACCAGCTCGCCTGTTCTCTCGTTTCTGCTCGACTCAGTTTCTTCTGTTATTGCGCTCGAGGATGTGACAGCTAAAGGAGTAATTGATCCATCATGGGTCATTATGACAGGATTTCTGTAAACACCCCGTTCAACCCTTTTACTCTGCACCGTCTTCCTCCTCTTGTGTTGGTTTTACAGGCACGCAAGAATTTGGAAAAGTATGGAATTTGGACAACAGACCTGACCGAGGAAATCCCCTGCCTTCAGGAATGAAATGACCACACGTCAAAAAAATACAGCTCTGACTGATTCTAAGTTGTTGACAATTGAGGTTTGCTCAAAATCATTATCACGTGTGTGTGTGTGTGTGTGTGTGTATGTGTACCACAAAAATGATCTCCAGCCTGCTTTTGGTCCCTAAACCCTTCCATACGCTGACGATTAGACATTGAGCCCTACTTTAGCTAGTTGTAGACAGTGTTCTCACCAGTGTGGCACAGAGTGTGATGCTGGGAGCACTCCAGCTGACTGCCGCAGAGGCTGTCTGAAGTGGACGTCCCCCACCTCAGCGTCTTCAGGCCCCAATCCGAGCAGTTTCTGTGGGGCTGACATGGCTCAGTGGCCGAGCTGCCGGCAGTGAAATGACCAGGTGGACAGTGCTCACACATGGTGTCGCTCACTGGCGTACCTGCAGGAGAAACACACAGGGTGGTGTATTGTGTTATGGAGTTTTCATACACACTGTCTCTTGTCCTCTCTGGGGCAGAGTGCAACAGGCTGTTGTGTTTGGGAAGTGCGAGAGCTTGGCAAAGGTCAAAGCCTTCACTCTCTAGACATCACAGATATGAAACTGCGTAAACAGGCAATACTGTCTCCATGACTAGAAAACACATTTGATTGTTTAGGAACAAGCACACCCATAGATTAAAGGATCTGTTGGGGTTTAGAGTGTGACTGCAGGAAAGCAGACTTCAGAATATGAGAGCATCATGCACAGATGTTGCATGGATGAATTTTGATTTTCTCCTTGGCCAAGCTTCAATAAATATTATCATTAATAAATAACGTCAAAGGGCTCCTGAACGCTTTCTTCACTGACCATTGATCAGCAGATTTTCCACAACATATTGATTTTATGAAAGAGAACATGGTTGTAAATGGATACAGTTTAAAATCAGTGGTATCACATGTGAGTAAACACTTAATCATACAGATTTCTCATCACACATCTCATCTTGTGACATCTCAGCATTTTCCAGTGTGTGAACATGATATGAAGCTCGTCAAAAATGAAGTGATTCCAAGAATGTCAACCACTTCATGTGACAACCCGTCACAATGACAGATTCTGAGAATGACTCACTCTGACCTCACTACAATAGCTCCTTCGTTTCATCTTGCTTTCACACCGCAGTACTTGAGTTCTATTACTATGATGACAAATCTAACTGCTTTTTCAGAATGACTGACAGGGAAATAATCAAAACCTCCAGTCATCTCAGTATGTTAATACATATGCTGAAAAAATGAAACTGCTCTCAGGTTTTTACCTTGAATATTTGGTGCAATAA